TGCTCGCAGGCGGACTTCCAGCCAGCTTTGAAGTAAATGTCTTGTGTTGCAAAGACTTGTTTCTTATAGCTCTCCTCGGCTTCGTTGAAGCCGGCGTTGTTAGCATCCCGGCAGTCTTTCTTCCGCGACTTTTTGAGCGCGTTTAGCTCGGTCTGGAGCTCATCCTGTTTTTTCTCGACCGCATCCAGCCGACCGAGCAGTCTGTTGTTGTCTGCATTAGCCATCTCAAGTGAAGACTTTGCCCGGCCGAGCTCGGCTTGGAGGCTCTGGACTTGGCTGGCTGTGTCATTGGCCTTTTGCCGAAGTCTATGGATGCGCTCCATTACTAGGTGTTGTTTCTGAATGGCCTGCAAGAAGCAAAGTTGATTAGAGAAGGAACCGAGCAAACACTTGTGAAAATTTCAGAGGCACATTGACTTACCCTAGCCATAGACTTCACTGATGATTTTATCAACCGAGTGTCAGGGACGTGGTCGCTGCCGACCACGTCGCTCGGTAGAAGAAGAGCTTTGGTAAGATCGAAGGCGAGCAAATGCTCTTTATCGCCCTTGATCGAAGCTGTGGCCAGGATGTCTTGACCCCGGTGCTTCAACTGTGGACGCCAGGCCGGCACTGGGACAGGAGTGTCAGATGGCTGCTCGGTAGTCAGCTCGGCGACAAGCTCGGCAGATGGGTCTGTGCGAGCTCTTTTACCAGCACGGCGAGAAGCAGGTTCTTGGCTAGACTGCCCGGTCGCTGGAGAGGCAAGAGCGACCACGGCGCCGCTGGATTGACCGGCGGCTGATGAGCGGGTGACAACGCTCGGCATCTCGACAGACGTGACGGTGAGCAGGTTCTTGATTCTGCTTCGTTTGGCCATCTCTTGCTCCTCTATCAAGCGAATGAGTGGAACATCTGGCAGAGTTGGATCTGGTGGAGGTGTTGGAGCGCGGAGGAAGTCTGTAACTTTACTCCGGCGGGGAGCGGAGTATCTGTATGTGGGACTGTAGCCGAGCAACTGGTTGCAATCTCGGTCACGGTAGCGGAGCGCTGTCCTAATTGCCTTGATGTTGGGGAAGTGATAGTTGGCTTGCAAGGCTTGGATTGCAGCAAAAGAAACAAGAAAGAAAATGACTAAGTACAGAAACATGAAGAAAGTATATTAACCGAGCTAATTTGCACGGCTTACATGTGCTTCCAAATTTTTTGCTTATCATCCAACCTGGTACCGCAGCTGTCTCGTAATTGCCTGACACCCAGAAGAAATCATCGTCGTGAAGATCCTTATCTCGTGTGCCGGTCACAATTTTCTCTCTGCCCGGTCTAATCTTAAGATAATAGGCGAGCCCGTCGCCGGTGTGGCCTAGGGTGTATTGGCGCAGGATCTCGGCTAAACCTAGGTTAATGCCTAACTGGTTGTTTAGCTCGTGCACTCCGTTTATTATCCGGTAAGTGTTGGTAGACACTTGGGTGGGTGCTAGCCCGGTTCGGCGTAGGAACTCGGTGATGAGTGGGTTCAGAGGGAAGCGGAGTCCTCCTTCGACGATCGACAACACGGTGAAGGGGCATTGTTCTGTTCTACCTCAAGGCGTGGTCTCTTCTTCTGCTAGCTCCAGGTGGACATCGGCCGGGACGCCGTACTCCTCCCTGAAAGCAGCTAGCGCGGCCGGAGTATCCACTAGGAAGCGGAATTTCCCCATTTGTGGCCGGCTTAGTATCCCGGCTGAGGGGTTTGGCACTGTGTAATTGGTTGCTGCTCGGTCCTGAGAGCCTCAGGAATGACAGTGGTCCCTTTGGACTCTGCAGGAAAAGGATGGCAAGTATAAGTGTGAGCGCGGTCGCGCAAGAGGAGCTGGACTTTAGCTCGGTCATTAAGAGTGCCAAACCACCTCGGTTGTCTATTCTAACTAAGGAGCACGGTCGCCCAAGCAGACCAGATGTTAGCCCGGTTGAGCGACCAAGCCCTTTTATTATCTCGGTTTTTGCTGGGGTTGAGACAAACTTGTTATTTGCTCGGTTAGACTGGTTTTTTGGATCAAAAGAGGACTAGGAGCCCGGTTCGCCCCAGTTCTTTAGTGTTCTTCATGAAGATGAAGAACACCAAGAACAGTGGGAGGTTTGGGACGAATTCTATGGCCTATGCCCTAAGAGTTACGTTTTTGTGCCCTAATGTGTGTAATATGAAAGAGAATAGCAACGATTGAAGATCTTACCTGTGAAGGGCTGGAGCTGTTCTTCCAAGCACGAAGAATGGCAGTCGAGTATGAGAGGAGATGGCTTGAGCTCTGGATCGTCAGGTAGAAAGGAGGCAGTAGGAAGAAATGGCATAAGGGGGGTCTTGTATACGTAAGCACAAAAGGCCGCCCAAATTCAAATTCTGGCAAAAACGGCGGGTTGGCTGCTTGATGACCAATGGCAGCCCGCCACGTGTCCCCATTTATGGCGACGTCAGGACTGAAGCAACAGGTTGAAGAGTCGAAGAGCCAACCGAGCTACTTTCGAGGAAAAGGATGTCAGCCGAGGAATATAACCGGGCAAGTTTGCAGACAGTTATGTTAACTAGCCCGGTCGAGCTTTGGCATCTTGAAGACCGAGAAATGTTATCTCGGTCGAAGTGAGTAATCCCAGTCACGCTTTCGCGGACGGAATTAAGGGGCAATTGAGAGGGTGATTTATGATCTGGAATTGGGCCGAGGCAACGGCCGAGCAGGAAGAGAGCCTAACCGTGCATGGGACCGAGATGATCGACTATCCGCCCGGAGATGGGCTGCCAGAACTTGGCCCGGGTAGGAATTGGGCCAAGTGTGAGCCGCCCCGGACCGAAAAGAAGCTCGGCAAGGCAGTGCTCGGTTGGACCGAGCTGCTTGATCAGGGGATGGCTAAAGCCAGACAAGCTGAGTGACCGGCGCCCGGAAAGGCGTGGTCAACCGAGGAGACCGTTTGATCGGCAGGGAGGCCGACCACAGGAGGTGCCCGGGCTAGGCTCTGCCGAGATGCCGCCTAGCCCGGTCCTCCTTGGGTTTATCTAGTGAGGTGCTTGGGTATGAAGCATAGCACGGCCGTGGATAGAGCAGCCCGGCTGCCGAGCTCCTGCTGAGTAGGTAGGCAGTTGAGATTAGGTGATGATCGGCAAAGTTTATGCTGACAGATGGGATAACGGAGCCACGTGTCAGGAGATGACTGGGAGTGGATATGGGGCGCAGAGGGTATATAAGCATGTCTGCGCCCCCCATACGCAACAGATAAACACTTTGTAAGGAATTTCTTACACTCAAACACCTCTCTCCCTCTTTTTCTCTATCCTAAGGTGTGTGCTAACTTGATCGTCGGAGGGTTTTTCTGGCCACACACCGCCGGGTAGCTCACCATTATTTGTGCGCAGGTGATCGGACATAAACGGAGCTCGGAAGAAAGGAGTACGGGCTTGCCGGAATATTTGCTCCCCGCACAATCATCTTTGTCTTTTCTGCATTCAAGAGCTCGGTTGTGATCTCCAGTGCAGTGCTATTCAGACTAGGGGCAACTTTCCAGTTGTTGGATCTGGGGTTGTACATCTCAATGATAGATCTCGGGCGTGTCCAGTGGTGATCCATATCGAAAATGGTTTTGAAAAGTTTTAATAAAAGTTGATTTTGCTCAAATTAATCTTTTTACAACTTAGACCATTTTTGGACCAAACGAAAAATTTTCAGTACCCACAACCTTCAATTACATTGATTTCAGTACAGAGTTCTCCTACTCTTGAAAATAAATTGAAGTTGCTTTTTATTACATTCATAAAGAAAACTTGAAAGTACTGATAATGCAATAAACTCTGGGCATGGATAAGTTAGGTGTTTCTACACCCCCTCCCAAAGCTTGTGGAAGCCTCTGATGCCAAAGTAGGCCCAACCTGTGCCTCTTCATCGAGCTAAGCTATGCACTCATCAGAAAGGGTGCAACTGAAAGTGGGAGCGGGGGCCAGAAGCTCTCTCGTCCTCCATGCTGTGGCATACCGAGCTAGCCGTGTGACGCCCCGAATCTACACTATTGGTTGCAGTCAAGGGAGAGTCACTAATGAGTCCTATGGTCAATAACCAAGTGAGATCCCAGATCGCCGAAGGAGTCAAGTTAGCCTCCCTTCTAAGTCCGGCTTTCTTAGGCAGCGCACTACCCTTTTGACAGATCTTAAAAGGTATTGACACAAGGTCTCATAAGCAACGATAAGGTTCATACATATAAATATATAGAACATAAGTACATAACAACCTCGAATATTCTTAATTCCAAAGGCTTGTTCCATTACATTACATCCCAAGAGAAACTTAAATCTTCGTATGAGTCTTACAAAATATCATAAGGAATTTCTAACTTTCCTAAGATAGCCAAAAGTCTTCAAAGGTTTCAGGTTTGTCGTCTCCAGCTATAAGCTCCTCTTCGGCACCTGGCATGACACGCCGTGAGCTTTGAATGCCCAGTAAACACACACACACCCCATCCCTTTTTCCCAGTCCAATACACAATCACAAATATAACATCAAATAGTAAAGCATGATACTCAACCAAATAAACAAAGGGTTACAAGTTAGATGTTAGTAAACTAGAAATCCCCCAAAGAGATTTCGTCCTCCCAACCACAAGAATTGGACACCAGACTATTCGGAACTCCCCCTTTTGCTGCTTTGTTGCAGAACTAACCTCGGATGCCTACCAACGGTTATATACCGCGTAGCGCCAACCGCAGGGCCTCAAAAGGGATAGCGAAAAGAAAAAGTTTTATCTCCTGAATCCAACCTCATCCTTCCAGAAAAAGTTTTATCATCCTGAATGTCCCATCCAGACCCAACCTTATCTCACCAATCAAACCATCGCAAAGAGTCCGAATACGTCC